CCATAGAGTGAACAAAAGAGTAATGGGTAGTTTTACCGTTTTTAGATGATCAAATCAAGGCGATTACATTTCTCCCTTTGCTATAACAGTGATGACATACAAGTGAGCTACAGTGATCGATACTTCAATCATTTCACTTTTTTGGAGAGAAACAAAGGTGTATATGCTGCCATTTTATCTGAGCTGAAAAGCAGAGACATCTTGCATCTTGCACATTTTGCATTCTCATTAAGTTCTCCTGAATACAGACACAATGTGCAGAAAACCATGGAGAGTAAATAGAAGGTGGAGGCCATTTGTTTTGTTCGTGCTGTTGCCCAAAAACTTTTGAATCAAACCATAAAATATTGTCATTTATTGTATGTACTCCTGGTTGTCTGATTCTCTTTCAAACTGAGAAGATATATCTCCTTATGCATCTTTTCGCTGTGCTCACAGGAAACCTATTAATGTCAAGCTCCTCATACTATAGTGTAAATGTTTTCCACCATAAGCCATGTTTTTTTTTTCTGTTTAAGGTAAAGCTTATCCAATTTAACAGTTAAACCTTTGGAAAATGAAAACATAAATAATAGGCAGATTTTGGAGGATAAGAAAATGGACCAAAAATTACATATACATAAATATTTTAAATTCAATAGATATGTTTTATTTACTAGGAAGATTTCAGTCATCCATTTGCCATAACAGCTTTCAAAGAACTACAGTGATATATGATGTATGATGTCATGCTTTCCCGTCACCCCAACAGGAGGCACATTGTTGCCAAAACATCAGCTCATGGAAAAAACCCAGACGCTGTATATCTGGTATTCTAAAATGCTCCTACTTTCGTTGCAAGTTTTAACATAGTATTTATTCCCAAAAGGTTTAATGCAGTACTTCTCTACATCAGGATGGACCATATGTTGCAGCTTAGACTGACTTTTTACATATGTTTTAGTTTGAAGCACTTAAATTCTTATTTTCAAATACTGAGAAAGCAAAGTTTTATTGCTTTATAAAAATGTTCCCTCTATTCTTTTGTTAAGTTTCCCATTTTGTGAGCTCAGTCATTGAAGTGGTTTAATACTGAAACTAAATTACTAATGAAGCAGCTGATAAGTATATTACTTTTACTTTATTTCAGTGTTTGTTGTTTTTATTGAATCTGACATATGCTTGATAAATTGGCATAATTTGATTAGGCCTGTAACAGTATTGTATTCGTCCTTAACCGCCATGGTTCAGTGCAGGCAATCACACAGGGCAGTATCCACACCCCAATCCAGGTGGCAGTCATGGTCGTAACTGTTTGCTAATCACTATGAAAAGACAAATTTTAAGAAGTAGACACAACAAAAAAACATGAAGAAGAAGAGTAATCTTTGGTAGACTGATGACACGACAGAGCTAGAAGACCAGTCTGCTTCTTTAAATCAAAGAGTGAGGACATTTTGGGTTCCCAGGGTGCTATGTCATTGAAAATATGTCAAACATGCTAATGGGTATGGGATGGCAGAACCCAGAGATGCTGATCACCAGAGCTGGGCAAAAGAAAACAGGTGACCAACAACTTATCCCTGCAGTTTTTAAAAAGCCTCTACATGTGAAAGCAGAGAGGGTCGAGGACATTCCTGAGGCTAATACAATTTTAAGGCTTTGTGCACATACGCAGTAGTAAAGGAACCTGGCTTCAAGTCTTTGAAAGTGCTCAAAGCTCGTTACAGTGTCCGATCGTGTGTCCACATAAGCCAGTCCCAGGTCCTATTGGCATACACGAACAGTGTGAACAACCGCTGTTCACTAACAACAATGTGACCGCACACTTCATAAATCGGAAATATGATACATTGCTCCTAAAGGCAGGTTTTTTCATTCATCCTACATTATACATCCTCATTATTTTATATTTTCCAAACAGATGTTATTCTCTTCTGAGTTTCTTTTTATGCATAATCCTCTGTTTTATGTTTAATGTTGAATACACTACAGACTCTACCAACTACCACAGGTCGTTCTAAACAACCCAAGAAGGAACAAACTATAACTTAAATTACTGTCAGTTTTACATAAATTAGAGAAAACTTGAAATACGCATCTGGGACTTTTGTTGCTTGCTTCCTTTTGAACGTAAATCGTACTGAACCAAAACCCCAAAAGTGAGGCTCCAACCAAACCGTGACTTCTGTGAACCGTTAAACCCCTTAATATGATGAATAGCAGCAAAAGGAGTGTCAACATTTATTTCATTAATAAAGGATTATTCTATCCTCCTTTTTATATCCTGGTGACAAATTGTTTTTATAACAGAATCTTTCCTCATGTTAATCCCATAAGGACCAGCAAACATGCACATTCATTCAACACAGTAATCCATCTGTGAAACAACCTGAAGCTTTCCATGATCTCTCCCGTGTGGTTCTAGCAGCTTTAAAATGCATTGATTGCTTACTATTAATATGGGAGTAACATTTTCCCCCTGACATTTTATGATCCTTTGTTCCTCCACCTGCTGGGGATTAGAGATGGAAAAAGAACTAATCACTGCACCAACACCACCGCTTTAGATGAGACCCAATGAGTCACTTAAAACACTCAGCACTGAAAAGCAGCTCGCCTTCCCAGCCGCTGAGTAAGTTTACCAGTAAGCCGCAGAGTCAGCTGCAGTTGTCATTTAGGAGAGGAAAGGGAAAATTATGTGTATAAACAAACGAATAATGCCAGTTAAGAGTTGTTACGCACAAGAGCTAAATTTAAGAGATCTCTTTTCAGGGATTTGTTATTTATGACACATTCTTCAATCTGGCTCAATCTCAAAGGTTATGAAATAAAATGAGCCACATCTTGTTGGTCCAGTGTCTTCTGCCAGGAACTTTGTCTCATAAAGCCAGTTGTACATTCTCACCGAGTCATCCGGTGAAACATTCAGATGGTTCCCTTCACTTAACGATGAAATGAAATTGAAATCAGAAGAAATCAACAGCAGTCTGTCTTTATAACACTGAGCCACACGTGATGTGAACAAAGAAGTCATACATGAGTGTATCATCCTTTATGTGAACTGAACAATGACTATGGTTATTGTGCTGATGAGGTCCTAATTATAGATATTTAATTATTTCACTAACTGCTAATACATGCCCAGAGGATAACACAGCTTACGACAATCTGAAAGGTTAAATGCTTCTTATTGGAATTACTTTTCCAGTCTTACTACATTTGTTTAACTGTGCATGGAAACATTTCCCAAAAGTAAAGTATGACTGTTTTATTACTGGAGCAATCGTTGATATAAAACACATAAAGGCTAGGTTTCAGAGATGCAGAGAGGCCAACATGTACATCTAAAGGCTTAGAGAGAAAAGTAGATGGAAATGTATAACACAACAACGGAAAACCCTGATTGTACAGTATACAACAGTAGCATGACTGTACTTGTATAAACTGTTGGAAACAACATAGAGGCTTGTTGGAAGAATAAATGATTTCTGTAAGTGAACTGAACTTGTGCATCATACTCTGCACTCATTTAAGACTTTTTTTTAAATGTAATTTAAACAGTACTCAAACAAATAAAACTCTAAATATCCGTCTTTAACAGCTAAATAAAAATAATGTAACTAAAACTCTGGTAGATGAGAGACATGCAATGTATCCTTATTCATTGTTCATTATTTTCCCTTCCTTTCCTGTTATATACGCATCCCAACACTTTTAGGGTTTATAGCGAACACATATAAAAGTGAGTTACCATCTGTAACATATTTAATGTTTATGCCCCAAAGGAAAGAATCACACATCCGATGCAATGTAAACCAAACACCTCCGCCAAACATAGACGTTTTATTAAACACAAAGCTACAATAAAACTGTAAATAAAAAACAAATGTTTGCACCATCCTTTGGCATCTAAACTACATGAGAAACTGTAGCTTGATACAGTATGTTGACTACAGCTAAGTGAGAATACGATGCCTTGTTTTTGTAGCTCTGGTCTAAAATCCCTGTGATGGAAACTGATGAACATAGTTGCCCATTTGGTGCTGGGTCCCAACAATTTCATTTCAATCGCTGACAAAGCTGGTAATATCAGATTAAGATATTCATTTTAACAGTGATGAGTTAGCTGTACATGACACTGTAATTAACCTCTGAGGAAACAAGTCTCTGTCTGCACTCAAAAGGAAACTCTCAAACATGAAATAATGTTCGTTCAAACAGGAAACCCAATGACGACATTATTGGCTGAACTAAATCTTAGATCTTATTGAAAACAGGAAGACAACACAAAAACAACAGACAAGAGCCAAGGCAACAGTAACTAAAGCCAAGAGTTTCCTTGAGAAATTTATGAGCAATTGGCAAGACTGTCTCCACTTTGACACGACAAAGTGTTTCATATCCTTTCGTCCTCTAACACACAAGTACCCACAGCTTTTGAAGCTGTTATGTAATTATCCCCTTGGAAGATGTAGTCCAAGTGTGCTGCTGTGTATGCAAAGACAGCCACTTTCAGACATAACACCTCCAGGCTAAAAAGCATAGTCAGTCATCCCTCACCCAGACCTGTTCTCAGTCAAACACCTGGATATGCTTCCTATATGTCAGCCTCTTCCCGTTTCTCTGGGGGACACCGATCATTCACGGCCAATTACAATCTGATCAGTGTAACATCAGTGCTGCCAACACTAGAGGAACCATGCAGTCTAAGCCAGAAATAGTTAGTGGTGGTGGTAAACCAGTGGCAAGGGGGCAGGGGGTTGGAAATTTGAGTAGTGTGTGTGAGTGTGTGTGAGTGAGAGTGTGTGTGTGCCTGGTGTTGTGCATGCTTGTGGATCTCTTTTGTGCCATAGGGAGGAGGGGTGGAGAAACAAGGCTGTTGCTTTAAACAAGAATGTGTTCATTTTTAAAGGAGAGGGGGAGGATCTGAACTTAATTTGTCTGCCTACTGAAACACTGCAAGAGGATTTTTCATCATTTAAAAGCATCAAGGAGGGAGAGAGAGCGGGAGAGAGAGAGAGAGAGAAAGGGGGAGGGAGAGAGGTGCATTTGAGAGAGACAGCCTCTTAGAGCTGTGAGGCAGAAGTGATGGATTCAGCCCACAGAAAAGTGACAGTCTTCTCCTAACGGGCCACAGGCAGTACTCAAACTTGCCCTGGAGTTTCAACATTTATCAGGAAACTACCTCTAGTATCCAGATTAACTTTAGTAGCTTACTAGTTGTCTCTTGAAATTGTTGCAACTTGCAAAGTGCATTTTGGAACAATCTACTTATTTCCTGAACTGTTGGTGCAAGTTTAAGCATCTGTTCAGCTTATGACGGTCTTTTAATAATAGGCTTTAAAAACACCTCTGCTTGTCTTCCCTGGACTGGACTAAGGTGACAAAAAGTGAGAAACTAAACGGGTAAGAGGAGGACACAAGGGTGCAGCTTTCACACTTGGGATGACTTTCTACCAGGAGAAACTTCATTCAGCTTTGCCAGGAGGGCAAGGCAACTGAGGGAGACTCATCAATACCCTACAGTTATCACGTAAGCATTGTAACCTTTGATTATTTTTTTAAACATTCATCTTATTAATGTGTTTATTGAAAAGGTCCAGGGCTTTTGTACATTATATTAAAATATTGCCTAATTTCTCTTCAATCATAAGACATCCACATCTGTAAGAAGAATTGTAACAGATCAAATGATGATTGAAGTTGTGAGTAAAATCAGAATCAGTCAGGGTATTTTAAAAATAATAGTGACGCAATCAAAGTTTTTTTGTCAAACTGAATGAAGTTAGACTCTGGCTCTGCCCTCTTAAATTGCTACATTTTACATAACAGAGATTTTGTTTAATCTTGAATTCATCAGTTGTCATGCAACATCTGCTGTGTGACTCACTGTTTGTTGCAAAAGAGTGATTCTTCTTTCTGATGACTAACTAGACAGATGAGACTGATTGACTTGGCTGACGGGGGTTAAATCAGCGCAGGGAGATGCTGGAGAGCGGGCTCCTGAGGCTAAGTGCTTCTTTGCTACTGATAAAACACAGGACCCTTAAAGAGTAAAAACAACAGCACATGGGCGCTGAGTAGGATGTTTAGGAGATGATATTCTGTACAGTAAGAGCCTTGTAGGATATATACAGAAGTTATGTTGATTTCTTTTCCCTGATATCTAAAAAGTACAATTTACTACTGGAAAAAAAGGATAATGTATGTAAACAGCCTGCAGCTCAGGATGTTCCCCTGGGCTCAAGGGGACAGGGAAGCAGGCAGTTGAATCCAGTCTTTGTTTCTGTTGCCGGGTTAGTGTTTGGATAAGGGGGCTTTGAGGTAGCATGCTGGAACTTATCGAAACAATTCAGTTGACCCCCTGCTGCCGCGTCTGACTCAGATCACAAGTGGAAGAACACACCAGGCAGCATGAAACTCAGAAACCTTAATTCAAACAAAAACTTGAATTCTCCTGCTTCATGAAAAGAAGAAAAAAAAAAAAAACACTGCCTTTACCAACTAACTGAGCAGGTACTTGAGGTTAATTATGTCCAGAATGTCATGTTACACGTTTACATGGATTACATGCTTGCAGAAAGAATGAGGACACCCTACAGGTAATGTAATAGTGCAGATTACCATGAGCAAATTGAATTTGACTCTGATCCAACACATATTGGGTGTCATGCCAGAGACTGCCAGTTCTCCCCTGAGTCGGCCTTAATTTGAACATGCAGCACAAAGCCGTCCCGCAAAGCGCCCGCTTCTTTTCAGCTACCGACAAATTAGGTGCAGTGTACTCATGTTGTGATCTCCTGTTGTGGATGATGATGATGTGATTATGAAGCATTCACACAGAAAGTAGGACACTGGGAGTGAAATGGGTCAGTAGATACAGTATGTCTTAACCAGGTACGCAGGGATAAAGGGAGTAGCGGTCCTGCGCCTCGATGGTCTAACTCTCTCCGTCCGCCACTGCCACTGACTCTGCATGTGTGTATGGCAACTCACTCTAATGAGGTGACGAAGAATGTGAGGAATGCCATGCTCATGCTGAAATGAGAGGAGCTGGGGTGAGACATCAGCCAGTCTTAGGCTGCCCACCTTCTAATTAATAAGTGCTGAGCATGACCAAAAAGACTGGAGAACAGCGCTGGTCAGAGACACACTGACCTGCCCACATATCACACTTGATTTCACATTGAGTAAAATCATGAACGAGGAGTCACATAAACACAGACTTACCACCTGTAGACAGTTAAACCAAAACATTTTGGTGTGAAGCAGACAGAGAAATTACCACCAATCAAAATTACAATGTTTTTTTTCCAGTGAGTGCACTCAAGCTGTTTGTCTATAAACCCTGAGACGTAGACATTTAAGACACTTCTCAACACCAGTTAATCATCACAGTCATTGGCCAGTCAATAGCAGCTTGTTAAAGTGAAATAATGTAGGCACAATAATGATCCGTGGTGGCTGTTAACAGCAAAGACGTGGGAGGAGGAGCCTTTCTGTTGTTCCCTCTGGCAGACTGCAGATGGGTTAATAACAGGCTGTCTCAGTCAGGGCAGATGGGACTCTCTCTAAGGTTCCTGGGAGACGGAGTCAAGCAAGTGTTGTTGTTTTTTAAAACACACATTAACAGAGAAAAAAATCTCAGACACGTACATACTACACATGCTAATGCAAAAAAAACAAAACAACAACAGCCCACATTTCATCACAAGCTGCAAGCATTTTCCCTTCAGCTTTGAAGTGTAGTGAAGCCTGGAAAAGGAGATTCCGGGCTAACGATGTCCAACATGGGACTCCTCAGCAGCAGGGGTAAATAACTGGATTTCGCAGAGACACAGAGCTCATGTTCCAGAGAAACCGCAGGAGCCACTGGCCAAACACAGTCATCAGCACATTACAGGGGACAGGCCTGAGGCTGCTCTATTATCTCAGTGTGGGCTTACTTGAAAGCCGTAATTAGTGAGCACTTTAGGACTTACAGTAAGAGATAATTTCATTGACAACTGAAAAGTGTTTCTTTGCGTAGTGTGAAAAATATTTCTGAAAACACTGGAATTACTTCATCAATCAGCATCTGCAGAGGTGATGTCATACAACCAGGCTTTGTACTAGAACTAAAAAAAAAGACGATTTCATGGTGAATTTGAAACAGAGCACTCTATTTGTTAGATAGTTTTTTAATCATAGCAGTAATGTCAGATGAGGACTTGTAACTGCTAGGTATAAACATGGCTGAATCAAAAAGACTGACAGGTTACACAAGAGAGCCATGTGAAAAATCCACTAAAAAGACGTGTTTTCACAGTCTATTCTAGACAGATAAAGCCAGAAGGGTCGAATGTGCCAGGGGTCATGTTCTTGGAGAGCGCTACATTTTTCTTCTCCATGTCTCCAACCTAATGTGCTGGCAGCATGCCCGGAATAACAAGACAAAAACATTTCTGCTTTCTTCCCAATTCTGTTCTGATGTTAATGTGGTACATTATCTTCTACACCAAGAAAAAGGTATAATAAATGCTTGAGGGAATCACATGTAAGATTGCCTCTCCTGACGCGATTCTGCAAAACCAGGCCAATTTCAGCCTCTCTATGATGTTTTTTGATTAGACTGGCCCCTTCATACTCTGGGGAAATGTCACACAGGACCCCTCTGTAATCCAATATGCAGCAGCTTTCAATTAGGGTGCCCCAGGAGTTCAAGGCCTTGATATCCTTACACAGAAGTTACTTTCTCTGCAGCCCTTAGTGGCATCTCCTAATAATGTATCGTCTACAAACAGGGCCTCCACTTATTCTTGTAATCAGAATTAATACATTTTGAATTGTAGGTCCAACAGTTAGGCATCTCATTTTCATTAAGTTTGAGGGAAAATTATGGGTTTTGACACGAGGACCAGTTATAGAGGAAAAACTATTCTAAAGAGACTGTGATCTTAACAGGGAAATATTCCAGATCAGGATTATGTCATGTAACATCCTTAATTAGATTCAGCACACTAGATGCTAAGAGAAAGCATTTTACATGTTCAAAATAAAGCTGTTATTAATGCGTTTCACTGTCTGAATGCAACGTATTTGCTTTTTAGGAAGGGCTTTGGAAAGGATTTAATACAGAATGCTCAAAATTAGAAAAAAAAAGTTCATTGAATAGCATCATCTGGTAATGTCTCAAATTTTCCATAAGCAAACATGTCAAGGCTTGCAGAGAGGGGTAAATAGCTGTGTCCGTGTTTCAACAACCGGCAGTGGCAATTGCCAAAAAACCTGAGAAAGTCCTTATTAGACAAAATAAAATACTTGTGTCAGTGAATAGACACAGTAAGTTAATTTCAAACCACATGTTCTGCAAAGACTTCGATGGTAGAAATCTGTTTTAAACAAATCATGATAAATGCCACGTGTAATGTGTTTTCTGTCATAGCAACCACTGGAGCTTTTAGCTGGGAGAGCGGGAGATTTCCTTTCAGATCTAAAGTGTTTTGGTAGCCCAGTTTTTCTAAAATGTAACGACCTCCAGCCAAGCACCCTTAGAAATGTATAGATGGGCTTCTGAACTGGTCAACTTCCAGCAGTTAACAGAGGATAGCAGCAGTGTATCCTGATTGGTAGATTTCTTCATGTCTCAATCAGAACATCTGAGAAGGACTCCATTAATGTTCTTTAAAAAAGGGGTATATGTAGCCCACTCATGAGGACTTTCAGTTCAAGTTGTAAGGAAAGATGGTTCACAGTAGGTTCACTCATTGGGTCTCCATTCTTGAGACAACAACATTTGGTCAGTTATAACAGCTTTTTCATTAAAGCAGTCATGTTATCCATTTTTTTTATCCAGGTCTTGGCAGGCTTTGGTGAGTTGGACTCTAACTCATGGATCCTCCTTCAATGGTCCTGCTGGGGCTCCTTCTTGTTTATGGACTATCCTGTGGTGTCCAACAGACTCTGGGGAGTGCATCAGACAGCACACATGGCAAAGACAGGGCCCAAGAATTTGAGAGTAGTGAGGATGGTCTGGAGAGAGAGTTTCTCTACGCTGGAAGGAGCAAGCGTGCTCCTGCTGACCAGCAGCAGGATAAGTGCTCTTACACTTTCATTGTGCCACAACAAAAAGTGAGCGGAGCCATTTGTGTCAACTCCAAGGAGCCGGAGGCCATGCTGGAGAATCGGGTCAACAAACAAGAGTTAGAGCTGCTTAATGTGGAGCTACAGAAACAGAAGAGGCAGATTGAGACCCTGCAGCAACTGGTAGAGGTGGACGGAGGGATTGTCAATGAGGTCAAACTGCTGAGGAAGGAGAGCCGAAACATGAACTCCAGAGTCACTCAGCTGTACATGCAGCTGCTCCATGAGATTATCAGGAAGAGAGACAATGCCTTGGAATTGGCTCAGATGGAGAACAAGATACTAAACCAAACATCTGAGATGCAACAGCTCACCAGTCGATACAAAGATCTTGAGCACAAGTACCAACATTTGGCATCTTTGGCCACAAACCAATCAGCTCTTATTGCCCTCTTGGAGGAGCAGTGCCAGAGTCGCCCTCCACCTCGTCATGTGCCAGTCCCCCAGCCAAGGCCTCAGCCACCTCCACAATCACCACCTCTCAACAAGCCTTACCAACCACCTGTACTCCCACGAATTAACAACCCAATCAGCAACGAGATCCAGAGTGACCAAAAATCCCAGCCGCCTCTTCTTCCCACAATGCCCACTGGCACACACAGCCCCTCCACTACCGACAAGCCATCTGGTGAGTCTAGCATTGTTTGATATCAACTTTTATACAAAAGGCCTTTATTGTAAGTTGAATTTTTGATGAATGTTACCAAACTCACAGTGACCCTCACAAACAGCAGCCCGACAGAGAATAGTGTTTCTAAGTATATTGTGAACCTCTTGATCATTAATCACAAGACAATACCAGACATCCCATTGTTCCAGCCATAGCAATTTTAAATACGACCCACACATTCCCATGGCAAAGGTCTTTCAGTGGGAACAGAAACATGTTTGTCTACAGCCTTTGAGATGCATATCATCCAATTGCCATTATTCAACCCCCACAAAACATGAAGCACATTAGCAGGGTAAATGCATGTGCTTTAATGGATAGATGGATCCTAAAAGAAGGGGCTCTTAAACACATTAATGAATGATAAGGCTTTGAAATATATGTTAAGGTTGTATTCAATCAACTTTAGGGACTACTCCATTGCCGTTCACTTTCATTAGTAGATTTTAAATGTTGGGAAAAAAAAAAACTATTCCCAACCTGACTGGGAGCTGTTTTCCATTGACATTTTGTGACACTGCTTGCCATTTTCACCAGGCTGCGTGCGTGAACAGTAGTCTTTGTATGCAATGTTTGAATGGAGGCAAGTAATTTCCTGCCCACAGCCATACAACTAACACCCCAAATTGTTACATAAGTCTTAACACGAACAGATTTTCACACAAAGCAAGAAAGGGAGAGGAAAACACCTGACAGAGCAACTTAAAGAGGGATGGTGTCTCAGAAAAAAGGGAGAGGGGAAAGTACAAACAGATAGAGATACCAGCAGTCAGTGATGTCATTTGTTCCACTTGCACCATGCAAGAATCAGTCATATGTTCCACCAAGCTGTAGACTTTATCAAGCAGAACAGAGTAAGGCAGGGCAGTGCAGCTTTCTGGCTTTACTCAACAGAGAAATTCCTGAGATTAAACGGGTGGCAGAGACGGGGGCGAGAGACAGATATTACCTTGAGTAATTTTATAAAAATAACAACAACCTTTTGGCTGTTCACATAATGGGAACACTTTTTTTCTGTTTATGGTGCACATAATAACAGAGCAGGCTCTAATGACATTTTTCTTCTACGTTCATAAACCTTCTCTTTCTTTATCTCTCTTGCAAACTGTTTATGCTCTCCTTCCCTCACATCTACCTCTTTGCGTGACCTCTATTCTCTTTTCATTTGTCTCCATTGTATTTGAACACTTTGTAATCCGGGCCAGTTGGCGAACCACACAAGTGTGAAATCTTGAGAACTTAAACACTTTCACAGCCAATTTAATCAGGGGAGCCAGTTGCCCCATTAGGGTGTCCAAATCTACTGGGTTTGGAATTTGAGCAAAAATAATCATGGTACAACAGAAACGAGGTAATTTCTGACGTAAAAATGAAACAAAACATTATTGACCGAGCAAAAAGCTACAAACATTTGTTATACATTCTATTGTTGAAAACATTGTAGCGATCATGTTTCCAAATAATAAACATTATACTTGTTAGAAAAGAAGCTAAGCTAGTTTTGTTTTTCATTTGTAAAACATCTATATAGCACGCTGCAGTGACTGTCCTGTTACATCACAAGAATAAGTAATGTAATAATGACCTAGCTGACTTACTGGAAGAAAAGTGCAAGTCAAGACAGGGATTTACAAGTCGTCCTTAGATTCACTCAGTTCTGGAAATCCTCTCTTAAAAACATGATGTGAAACCTTAAAGGATGTGTCTGTATAATATTAACAAAAAAATCTAAGTGAAAGTAAGTAAAATAATCCTGCACTGTAAAGCCTCACAGATGCTTGAACATTTTTGCTACTGTTTCCTCATTCAGCAGTCAGATTTCCCTTTGCCCTCATGCCAGTGTTTCTTTTGGCTGCACTATCGGCAGCCATTTCCCCTGTGAGAGAAGCCGCCAAAGTCAATTCTGCTGTTAAAATGAGAGCCTCTGCTGAAAAATGGGATTCCCTATGGCAGAGAATAAAAACCCTTTGTGCAACTGTGTCTTATTCTTTATTCCCCTTTCTTAACTTTAAAGAAAACTGTTGTAACTGCCTGGATTTGACATGCTTTAAATAATTTGATGCCGTCATCTTTCTTTTCAGGTCCATTTAGAGATTGTCTGCAGGCTCTGGAAGATGGCCACACTACCAGCGGTATGTATCTGGTGAAGCCTGAAAATGCCAACCGGCTTATGCAGGTGTGGTGCGACCAGAGACATGACCCAGGTGGCTGGACTGTGATCCAAAGAAGGGTGGATGGCTCTGTCAACTTCTTTAGGAACTGGGAGACGTACAAGGTGCGACAACCACACACCAAATCAAGGACCTCATAGTCTAGGGGGAAGCTTATGTAGGTTGTTTGACACCAACCAGATGTGAACCAGTAATGAATAGGTAATTGTTAAGGTTTCAAAACTTCTGATGCATCACCAGCCTCAGTCACTGCATAAGCCATATGACTCATTAGTTCCAGCAACATCAATTGGTCTTTGTGAATGACTTCACACTCAAAAAATAAATTAAGAACATGACTTAGAAACCACATTGGTTGCTTGTGGTAGCAATCCCTGAAATTCTGGGAAAATAAATGTATTTTCCCATTAATTCTATGAATCTGGTGTACCCAAAAAACAGGGTATTCCGAGCAAATAGTTTTCTTCATCATTTAGAGGGAAACATCTCACAAAGAGAGAAACAGTTCTCTAGTAAACATTTGATTGCGGGCCAAACAGTTCTGAAATCTCATCTTAGGGGGACCATAGAGATATTTCCTAGACTTTAATGGAAACCTTTGAACCACAATATATTTGAAATTGCATTGTACACTTATCCTGTTTCCATGATTCAAAACAGTTGTGGGCTAGGGGATACCACAAACCAACTTACAGTGTGACTGGAGCCAGAAAAAAGCAGCAGGGCAGTATCCACTGAGTCAGATTTTATACCATGCAGTTTTATCCTGCTGTGTTTTCAATAACACAAAATAGTGGCAATCTGGACACCCAATGCTAGCTATAAACTTGAATCAAAAGGTCCATTTAAATGTAAATGTTCCATGACGATAAACAACCCCATAGATGGGCTGAACTCTCAATTACCTCCAGATCACGGGCAATGACCCTAAATTATCCCCCAGACATTCTAAGTAACTATGCAAAACTATTTAAAGAGCATTTAGCAACATTTCCTAAGCTTGCTAAGGTGTTCTCTTTTCATTGACTTCACAGCAAGGTTTTGGCAATATAGATGGTGAGTACTGGCTGGGTCTGGAGAACATCTACTGGCTGACTAACCAGGGAAACTACAAACTACTGGTCACGCTGGAGGACTGGTCTGGCCGAAAGGTGTTTGCTGAGTATGCCAGCTTCAGAGTGGAGCCTGAGGCAGACTTCTACAAGCTAAGGGTGGGCCGTTACCATGGCAATGCAGGAGACTCCCTAACTTGGCATAATGGCAAGCAGTTCACAACACTGGACAGAGATCATGATGCATATACAGGTAACACTTTAATTCTAGATAGTATTAAACTTCAAAATCAGTAATGGATTATCATGGTTCCAATGTAAATGTAATGTTTATAACAGTATAATTATCTTTTTGGTATTTCTAGGCAACTGTGCCCACTACCAGAAGGGAGGGTGGTGGTACAACTCTTGTGCCCATTCAAATTTGAATGGAGTTTGGTACAGAGGAGGACATTATCGCAGTCGCTACCAAGATGGAGTTTACTGGGCTGAGTTCAGAGGAGGAGCCTACTCACTAAAGAAAGTGGTTATGATGATTCGTCCAAACCCAAACACCTTCCACTAAGCTTCCAAGGAACACATACTGTACTGTTTAAAGACAAACTTTTTGACACCTGAATTCCAAGCAAGCATGGTCTTTTTTGTTTGATGGGGTGGCACCAGGTCAAGACAGATGGCAAAGAGAATATAAATGTTGAAAGTGCAATATCATAACATCAGGCAGATATTCTAGTGCCGCAGTCAAAGATTGTGTGCACCTTGTGCATCATAACCCGGCTTCCATTTTCCTTTCGGGTCAGCTGGGACATGTGCAAATTGCTCAGGAGTTTTTTTTAATACACTGTCTTTAATAAAACAAAGATCTGTTAATCTGACAGTGGTCCAATGTTAACAGAGTGAAAAAAAAACAATTAGTGCTTTTTTAGTTAAAAGGAAAGATCATAATAATTCATTTACTTTGCTTTGAGATAGGAACCCTACCGTATGTATTTAGTTTGTATGAACATTTTCTTTGAACAAGCAAATAAGATTGACACAGGAAACAATTCCAGTGACTTTTTATTTCATCCTAAAACATTTTTTTTGGAAATGTGTATTGATGAGTACAGTAACATTTACTAACTTGTAATACAGGGTTAATATTATGGCCAGTTTTGCTATTTACATACTTAATATACTTAATAAATAGTGCCATTTTATTTTCTTGCAAAAATGAATGCTGTTTATTTTAAAACTTTAAGTTAATGATGTTTTGATAGATCTAAGTACATTTAATGGATCTAAAAAAGAAAATAAACTCCGCACCAAACTTTTTTGGAGATACACTCTCTTCAAAGTCCTGCTTCTTTTCCTTCATAATACTGTTACAGAAATCTTGAATTGCTTGAGGAGGTATCCATCAATTTGCTTGTATAAATCAAGCACTGTATTTACTGTATAAATTAAGCAGTTTGTTGATGTTAATAGATCCAACACATTGCATTTGTACATAAAAGGTATTTGTAATATAATGTATTAAACGTGTTATTTCTCAATTAATTTGCAATAAAAAAAATGTACAGCTTGACTTTGTCTTTTTTGTGTCTCTTGGTTTAAAGCACACTGAGAACAGATTATATCTTCAGAGAACAAAATCAAGCCTTTATCCATTTTCCAAATTAAAATAAAGACCACTTTATCTAGGTACTCAGGTTTGGCATAACACAGTTATTGTTACTATCACTATAGTGAACATGAATCCAGCATTAAGTGATTAAAAGAAGAATGTGCAATATTTTGATCCAGTAGATGTCGCCCTTGAGTGCCCTTTAGTGCAACTAAAACAAACTCGGGTTGACACTATCGCCTCTTATATGCACTGCACTGATGGTAAAGCATGAAAACATGGCCCTGTGTTTTTACAGTTGCTTAGCCTAATTCAACATCAGAAAGTTTTAAGTTAAAGATGACTAAATCGGTCAAAGTGACTTATCTTGTCAAAGACCAATTTCGTATTTGCATTTTTTTTTTACTCAGCCCAGCAGCCCCCTACAAATGCTTGGAAATGTACTTGTGTTGTAACTACTTTGACTTTATGCTTACATCACATATTTTCATGAACATCATACAAGTATAGAATAGAGAGAGAAAGTAGCAGCTGTGGGCCATTTTGAGAGAATTGCTGGATGTTTTGTATGCTCTGGCAACGAAGATCTTCTTGCCACCCTCCAACTTTTAAGGTACCATCTGGCAAAGTGAGGTCAAGCGAGTACAGCTTACTTTTCCTCTTAACAAACAAGTAACTGAAAAGAGCCTTCTTCAGGATCTTCATCGATCTTGACTATGTCCAATGATTTTGTTTTTGCAGCCATCAGCTGTTTCATGCAAACTTTTTCCGCTTCCAAGTTCTATTGCATAACAACCCTCAGTCTCTCTGGAATATTTTTTGTTGACTGACTCCCGTAAATTTCCTCGACACTGGCACGGTTTGCTTCAGCAAGGTACAGTAGCTCATGCGCACAAGCACCAGCACACAAAGTGGACATGAAGTATAATCAATCCCAGCCTTCATTATCGAGAATTCCCGGAGTGGTATGGCTGTTTCTGAATAAAATGACTCAAAATAAGCCACAAAGTCAGTATTGTAGCTGCGTTGTCCACTGCGCACCCCTTTTAATTTTTTTTATTTTCGAGTACGCTTGTCTTGTAAACTAGGCACGCTTCATAATTACGTAAAGCCATGCATATGTTGTAGTACGATGAAGCACAAGAGGTAATCATGCTCAGACCCGGCTTGTCCTGGAGCAGTATGAGCGCAGGCCAGTGGGGGAATGGGAAGAGGGGACAGTCGTGCTTCAGCACGGTAGAGAGCAACTTTGCCTAGTGCACACTTACTGCCAATTTCCACATAGTCTGTGTGTGATGTGTTCCGTTAGCGCCAAAGTTTTGCTCCATTGGAATGCGCACGCTAGGTCGTTCCATTCTGTCCAGCTTGACGCGTGCTTGCAGTGGGCTCCATCGAAAACAGACTTGTAGCGTATTTAAAACATTACAAAGGAACAATTAGTTCTGCATTGCTATTTTATAAACATAAGTAAAGACACTGAATATATATTTTATGAGATAATGATTTGGTTTGACTTGAAGGTCTAAAAACTAAAGTTATAAATAACTTGATAAAAAAATATAGAGTAGAAGTGATGGAAAATAAGCTTTTAAAATACAAATTAAAGATTCTGATTGTAGTTGAACAACCAGCATGCACTGAACAATTGGCTTATTTAATTCAAAAAAGTATTAACATAGTTTAAATCATTATTTTAAATCATTAAATCATTATTTACATTTTACAGTAACTCACCAACCCATGAAAAGCATGCCCTTGCGGTGTCTGCAGTAGATTTTTCCATTCACATTTTTTACCAACACAGTATAGACTAAGGTTGTGCGATATTGGCAAAAAATAATATCTCTAGGGCTGGACCCGAATATTGGGCTAATCAAATATTCGCTTGTCGGGTAGGCAATCGATTATTAATTTTAGGATTTGAATATTCAGGGATTTTTTGTTTTTGTTTTTTTTGGGTACCTGATATTCCTATTCTCACAGCGGTCAGTGAACGTCACACTTCAGTTCACCTTGGCCATCAAAGGGAAGACAAAATGCAGAAGACTTCATCTGTGTGGGAACACTTTAAATTAAGTGAAGACAAGAGAGTGTGCCAAATATGCAATTTGAAACTGGCCTACCATGGTGGCACAACAAGCATGAAAAGTCACCTGAATGCTGTAAAAAAAAAAATGAGACCATACTAGCTAGCAAACTTAGCTTAGCCTTTACCTTTGCTTGGAAAATAGTTCAAATAAAACATAAGGAATAATGTTGGAACATCTGGGGCATAAAAACTAAGGGTATGCCTGATAATAACTTGTCCATGTCCATAGGTGCATCCCCAGGCATCGTAGCTACACAAAAACTATACAGCAGACCCCACAGTTCCAAAAACCAATAACGGAGAAATGAAAGAGGGGATAACGGGTGCCATAGTAGAGTTTGTTGCTATGGATGAGACCAATAAACATAGTCGAAGGGGAAGGCTTCAGAAAATTAATGAAGAAGATGGAGCCTGACTACACTGTCCCCAAACTCCAGTATTCTTCAGTATTTCAAATGCCCTGTCCAAGACAATGCCAGCAATATGAAGCTGTGCTGTGCCGAGACACTGAAGAAAGAACCGGAGAAATGAGGCGACATTCAAGGGGTCTTCTTCTCAGGACACACGCTATAGCTGTGCATAAATACAGCCCTAAAACAGAATACGTCGCAAAAGTGCAAAGGCAACAGCTGCCTTAAAAGACCAGCAAAAACAGCAAAATGTTGTAGAGCACAAACTCCTACAAGACGTTGCTACTCGGTGGAACTCTACGTGTGAAATGCTTGACAGACTGGTGGAACAACAATGGTCAGTGACCGCTACATTTTGTTTACATCGCCTCGTCCCCTCGCCTATGAAATTTAATTAATTGAGGGACTAGAGAAAAGAAGAATAACATACTGTACTCACTGATTATTTGAATGTCACTTACCGTAAAATCCGGAATATAAGTTGCACTCGTATATAAGACGCACCCTGTTCTGAAGGTCTCTTAGGGAGAAAAAAAAAGTTTGAACTGTCTTCCTGCGTGACGATTTATATTGTGTTCAGCGTTGTCTACAACTTGCAGTTTGTGTGCAGCTGTGTCGCTCTTTAGTTGTGTTTGTTTTCACGTTCGGGAGTTTGCACTCCTAATAGCTACAGTACGGTAGTTGAGCTCTCAGCCTGCTGCAGGGAAAGTTGTGAGGCACAGACTCCTAGCTTGCGATGTTGAGAGTCGCGCTGCCCGACTCCGCTGGTCACTCTTTTAACTTTAATATGGGACTCTTTCAATCAAAAGAGCGCTCCACAAGGTTTATTTACGGAACAATATACCACTGTTTTCTGTAAATGCATGATTATCACCTCGTTAGGGAGAAAAGATGTGGAAAAAGTTGCGCAGCCAGCCTGGTCTGTGTCGCCGTCTTTCCCAGCACAGCGTGCACTCTTTCAATACACAGAGAATGGGGATGGGTTTATAGACTGTAAGCTTTTTAATCACCCCAGGACGCACCTGCGGTAATGATGGCGCGTGTTTCAGTATTTTGTACTGGTATATTGGTAGCACCGGTGTATAAGACGCAGCCAACTTTTAAGATGAAAAAATAGGTATTAAAAGTGCGTCTTATACACCGGATTTTACGGTAATTGTTTATTGATCATGGTTATTTCGTGTTAATTTACATGCAGTGTGAAGATACGAGCATAATAAAGATAGCATTCGCATGCTAACACAACAATGCAGCGCTAGTTGTTATGGTTTCATGCTGGTGCTCAAGGGCGACATCTGCAGGATCAAAAAATCGCATATTCTTCCTTTAATTTATAGCATAAATGTTATTAGATTTTAAGGTTGTCCACCTGGCTGAACATCTGCACCAGCAACATACCGTTCAGAAGGTGGAAGAAGAAGAACCAGCAGCAAGCCATGAAGAAGAGGAGACTGCCGTGCCACCATCAAAAAAAAGGAACAGCAGGAGATTTCAATGCTGTTGCTGTCTGACTCTGATGATGAAGAGGAAGAAGAATACGATAGAGACAGCGTTCCGGCCACTTCAACCCCGTCAGAGCACATTTTCTCCAAGGCTGGCTACATCGTAAATAAGAAGTTCCCTTTTACCGGAAAATGTGGACAAACTCATCTCCCTGGCACACAACATGAAGAGAGTGTAGGTAGGCTAGGCTATGTTATTATAACTGCGCTACCTACGTTGTTTTATTTATCATTTGTTTTATTATTTATAAGGCAATTCATTTATTTGTATTTAAATTATTTGTTTATTGTAATGTGTGGAGTACTACTGTTATTATAATTGTGCTACCTACCTTGTTTGTTCTGTTTATTACAGTTTGTATTCTATCTGTTGAATACAATAATAAGCATGCAGTTTATGCATTGCTTTTCTGATATGATTGCACAACATATGAATTTAATTACTGCTGTAAAAAATGGATCTATAATGACAAATAAGGGCCTTTAAAAAGCATTGGCAGATACATTGAATTGATACCACTAGCGCTCTGTGGAGCAAGAGTAGTGTGAGTTTAGAAAAGGTTAAAAATAAACATGTTTAACATTTGATGAGTGATGATAGAAATTTGCAAAAAGGAAGAGTGCATACACAATGACTTTTCCTCTCCTCAGCTTTTCATTATGTACTTTTATGCGATACCTGCTTCAGTTTGCTTTAATTTTCAAAATCCATCTATTCATAAAAAATGAGAATAAAAAGTTACATATTAAAGTAAAGTTGTAGATAACTGCTTTATTAAAAACGTAATCAAATGATTTAGTATTGAGAACTTCTTACATAAAGTCATGTTGTCTCAAACACTATCATGAACAGCATTTGCATAGAGTCTGCACGCCAGAAAATGACAAATGAAATGTGACAGGCTTGTAAAACTAATGCATCCAGCAGACCCCTCCACTGACAGCAGAAACCACCTTCAC